TATGCATTGCTTAAAGAAACTACCTAAATAAAATGTCCTTTGTAAGAGCTTTAAAACCAAAATCCACTGCCATTGAGTCAATTCCAACTTATGTAAAACATAATAGAACTGCTCCTTGTGTTTTCTAAGACTTTAAGTCTTTATGGGCATGGGATACACACCTCATCTCTCTTCCTTGGAGTGCTGATGGGTTTGCACTACTGACCTTGTGATTAGCAGCAGTCCACCTGCTTAACCCAGAGCTTTGAAAGGGAGGGCGATTAAGTGAAATCAAGATACTAATGAGAGCACCTTGAAATGTATGACCCTGCATAAAGAGAGTTGGACAGATACAGGATAAAAGGTCACATATCATTGATACCAATAAGATCAAAGAACGGGTTCTTCTGAGGAAAATCTGAAGCTTTATTGGTATATACAGCCTGGTGTGATTTGGCCCATCTGTGTTTGTTTGGCTTCGTCTGTCCTACTCTCCCATTCCTTACTTGCTTTACCACTGTTTACCACTATTTGGCAAATACAGTCAGCCCTGGTTTCAGTTCAGGGCCTGGTTTCAATTCAGAGCCTTTGCATTTGCTCTCTGCCTAGAAAATTCTTCCCTGGAAATTTACATAATTTACTCCCTGTATTTCTTCAGATTTTCTCAGTATGACTTTCCTTGCCCTGTCCTAGATAACTGGGGGGGGAAAATGGATCAAAACATTTGTCTGCTTTGCTTAATTTTTCTCTTAGCACTAACCCTTCTGTATCTTATTCCATAGTTAACTCATTACATTAAAAAAAAAATGTTATTCATTTATTTCCTTAGAATGTAAGCTTGCTAAGTGCAGGCTTTGGTTTGTGTTTTTTAAATCAAGTTCAATAACTGGAACAGTCTCTGGAAACTCGTCTGATGTAAGGAAAGGAGAAAAGGAGAGAGGAGAAAGTGGGGCAAATATAGAGTTATTTTCTATCTTGTAAATCTTAGAGGGGACCCACGTATGCAAGATACATGACAAAGGTCATGACAAAAGTAGACTTCACATTGTAATCACCAAGAATGCTCACAGCAGACTTGGAGACTAAGAAGAAGGCTGGTGTTGTTATGTGCCATCGAGTCAGTTCCAGTGAGCACTGGATGGTAACTGCAAGGTTGGCATTTGAAACCCACCAACCTCTCTTGGAAACCCTGTACAGGGTCACTATTAGTCTGCATTAGTTTGTTGGCACAGAACAATAATAGGATTTACAAGGAGCAGTTGATGGGTTTGAACCACTCGATGTGGTTAGCAGTGCAGTGCTTAGCCCACCGCGTCACACCAGGACTCCAAGAAGAGTGTTTGTATTTATTAATTCAATACTACAACTTCTAAGGAAGAGGAGGGAGGCTTCTTTAGATTAGTAGGTAACAGTGGCAAGACGAGAGAAGAGTTTTAGATAGATGGGATGGAGTTTAATAGCAGATTGCCTTAAACAGATTAGATACCAATTCATCCAGGTTCCCAGTGTAATCTTTGTAAATTCATTTATTGTAAAATGTACTATAGTTAGCACTTTACCTATCTACTTTTCCACTAGACTGTAAATCATTTTTAATGGATAGCTTCCCAGCACTTAGCAGTTACTTGGTTACATAGCATTCTCAGTAAATATGTGATGAGTGAAATTCTCATTGACTGAGGAAGTATTCTGTGACAACTAGAAACTTAGGAGCCAAAAGCCTTCTGACCTCTATATCATGTCAGGTGACTAAAAAGGGTAAAACAAGAAGTCAGTTTTCACATACTTGTAGTTTCAACATTTTCAAGGTTAACATTAAGGATGAAAGGGAATTTGTTGTAAAAAATAAACAAGCAAAAGACTAATGTCTGTTAAAGGGATAGTCGATAGGACTAGAGTGAGAAGATGTAGAATTCATTATAGTACTAAGAAAGCAGATGGATATAGTGGTTACTGGTATAGATAGACATTTGAAGAAGCTCTGGGAGCTCTGGTGTGGCGCTGTGGGTTAATGTGCTGGACTGCAAATGCAAAGTTGGTTTGAATGGCAGGGTCGGTGGTTCAAGCTCACCAGTCACTCTTTGAAAACCCTATACAGGGTTGCTATGAGTCGGAATTGACTCGACAACACTTAACAAAAATAGCTGGTGGCATAGTGGTTATGAGTTGGGGTTAGCAGCTCGAAACTACCAGCTGTTCCATCGGAGAATGATGAGTCTTTCAGCTCTTCTACACATTTATGGCCTTGGAAGCCCAATGCAGGTTCCCTATGAGTCAAAACTGACTTCATGGCACACAACTACCACCACCCCAGACATTTGATAGTAATTGTCAATGGTGTAAGACTTAATAGTTTAACTGTGAGTGGAGAATCAGTGGGAATTATTGAAGATGGAAAACGATAAAGAGGGAAATGTTTATTAGGCTTAATTTAGTTTGTAAAGCGAAAAAGCTCAGAACTCAAACTGATGTATTTATGTGTTGGTAGAACTTTCAAAAACACATTTATATACGTGAGTGTGTGTGTATGTGTGTGTCTATATTATCTTGTTGATGTTAACTGCCGATAAGTCAGTTCTGACTGATAGTAACCTTGTATAAAGTTTTCAAGGTGCAGCTAGTGGGTTTGAAACTGAGATCTTGAAGTTAACAGTCCAATGCTTAAACTACAGCACCATGCCAGAACTCCATATACACATTCTACACACACACACATATATTCATTATATGTGTGTGTGTATGTTTTAGGATCTACACTCTTGTTAGTGATTTACTAAGTTTTGGAATGTTGTTGTTAAGTGCCTTCGAGTTGATTACGACCCATAGCAACCCTGTATAGTGTTTCCAAGGAGCAGCAGGTGAGCTTGAACCACAGACCTTGCAGTTCAAATGACTTTGCAGTCTGATGCATTAGCCCACAGCACCACACCAGGAATGGGGTGATAAAAATGTAGATGTATGTACTTCTGTCACTGATAGTTAACGAAGTTGTAATGACAGCTGGGGGTGGAAACAGGATAGAATGTTGAGTTAGTGCCTCAGTTGTGTATGCTTTGATATTCTATAAAGGTGCGACTTGGTAACAAATACAGAGCCATTATTGTAATTAATGAAAATATTCTGTATTTTTTCTTTTCGTTTCAAATGATAGACTTGATTCAGTAGGCAATGGCACATATTCTATGACATTTATTGTTGTAACTGGAATCTTGGTTTGGCACTGTAGGATAAGCACTAGACTGCTAACCATAAGGTCATCTATTCAAACCAACCAGGCACTCTTTGGAAATATACTATACAGGGTCGCTAGGAGTTGGAATCAACTTAACAGCATTTAACAACAATAATTGTAACTAAATTTTATTGAAATATTTTTGCAGTCCTTATTAAGTGTTTCACAATGAAATTGATTTGTGAATATATTTATATGTATATATTTTAATGTTTTATTGTGAATTATGTGATAGTGTACATGGGAAAACATTAGCTTTACATTCATCCTATCATATATCGTTTCATTGCCAGGGTTACAATCCCCTGTATGCATTATTAACCAACCCAAGGGTATACCCTGCAAGCTTGCCTCTGGTCATCAGCACACAGCCCCTCTCCCTCTCTGGATCTAGAGTCCCCAGCCTCTCCATCTCTCCACGTCCTTGTCTCTGCCTCCATCTCTGGTGTCACTCTTTCTCTGGGTAGGGTCCCACAGTCTGCTCTTCTCTCTTGATGGTCCCATGACCCTCCGCTCCTGGACTGCAAAGTCAACCACTCCCCTCCTGTTGCTACAAAACATCTACCTTTACATATCCAACCTTCACAGTCAGTCCTGATAGCAATTATTCACTATTGTACCACATGAGTGCTATCCCCATTTCCTTTCATCAGCTCCACCCAGACAAATTGGATACCTATCTGTGGAGATTCTACTTTCCTCCATACCTTCTGGATCTAGGCTCCCTCTTGAAAGCTTGTGAGCCAGTCACTTCTTGCCTTTGTAGCTTTCCCCCCCACCCCCATTTTGGGTAACCAATGTCCAAGTTGCTCATCCCTGTCTACTCTGTGTATTGTGGGGGTGGGAATGATCCTCGCTGTAAAGAATTGTTCCCTCTTCTGAGCTACTGCACCCATAATTGTAGGTCTATTTATATATTTTTAAATAGAAAAAGTATTTTATTTTTTTAAATACAAAGTTATGATTTATTTAGGAGATACTTCCCCCTCCCCATCTTTAACCATTAATGTAGGTTTATTAAATACAGGCAAAGCTATTCATTCTTACAGCTTTCTCTGAAGATAGAAAGACATCATAGCATACCCAATGACCCAGTGTTTCTTAAAGTAATTACCAAGATTTGTTTTTTCCTGATAACTATAGTGAAGAAGGATTGTTTTCCAAGAAACTTTTGAATGACTATGATTTTGAATAATTATAATAGTCATTTCTGGTATTCTTCAGACAGAAAGTACACAGAACATGACCTGTCATGCTACCTTTTGAGATTTTGGCTAAACTCAGGGTATATTGGCAACTGTGCCTTCAGATTCCTTGCCTATTATGTATGTTTAATATTAACAGTTTTTTATAATGGATTTACATTACTAGAAACAACATAATGACTGTATGTCTAACAGATTTGACAGGACTGAGCAAGATGGGGGAAGAATTTATTGAAGGAGAGAAATAAAGTTCCCAATGGAGTTTTAATGAGAAATAGCAGGGAATTGAATCTCTCAACTCTCATATTAATAAATTTCTTTCTAGACTTATTATAAATCCATGTTCGGATCTGAGGATCAGGAAGGACATGCCCAATACCAGTGCTTAGTTAAGAAGGGAAGTCCATTGCTATACTGGAGAGTGATTCAAACGGATTTGTATACTTTGTAATGGAGATGTGATCTTAGTGAGTGAATATGTCGTAGTAGGAGATGCTTTTTTAAAGAAGGATATTTATGGCCTTATACAAAAACATTATGTTTTATAAAGTAGTAATTTATTTTTACATATTTTGTTCCCACAGTCCAGAGAAGGCATTGAAAGATTCACTGCAACCGTATGAAGCGGCTTATCTATCCAAATCCTTATCACGACTCTTTGATCCTATCAACTTGGTGTTTCCTCCGGGGGGTCGCAATCCTCCTTCCTCGGATGAGCTTGACAGTATCATTAAGACAATAGCAAGGTAGGTACCTTCTAATAGAATGATATGTCATAAGATGCATGCCATCATTTCTAGTGAAGGATGGCAGCAGTCCATTTTTAATTCATCTCAAATTATTCAGTAATTAGCCCTGCAATTAAATCAAGAGTTTCCCAGTGAATGAGTGCCCGTGTAGTAAGTACTTGAAATTCCAATTTATAAAACTATTTAAATACAGGCTAAAAATAGTATATCATAATTATTCTGTATTTTACCAAGGATACATAATAAACCTGACTTTTAATTCCATAATAAATTCCTAATACTGCACAAGGCAAAGCAAGGTTAAACATGTTTTTTATTCACAAGTTGAGACACTAAAACATAGAGGTGAATGTTTTTAAAATTTAAACCCAGACAGTGCTTCCAGGTCAAAACAGGATTACAATAGTGATCACAATAGTCAACTCATGATTGCTATTACATTTTCTCAGTGAAAGTGATAGGGTTTAAAACCCTAAAAAAAGAAAAGGATCCTAGCAGAATGCCACCCGAGTGCTTATAGACAATGGAACTATATTTTTGTCTTTCGATGTTTACCCTTAACAGTTATCCAAGTTAATTTGCAGTTGAGACTATGTCAGTTTCTGTCATAGCTAACAAGTTTTTTTTAAAAGTTGTTGTTAAGTGCTGTTGAATCAACTCCAACCCATAGTAATCCAGTGTAGGGTTTCCGAGGAGCAGCTAGCGATTTTGAACCGCCAACCTTGCAGTTCAAATGGCTTTGCAGTCTGGTGCATTAACCCACAGTACCACACCAGGACTCCGTCATAAGAGTAGGTCTGTGCATTTATAAATGGACATTTTGTAGAGTAAAAATAGTAACTGAGACCAAGGTGTATAGCACTCTAGATTCCTTTCGACTCCAAACTCACGAATGAATTTCTGAGGCATGGAAAGTTCAGATAAAAAGCCACAGGCGTAATATCCATAACCGTAGCTTCAACTGCAAACTATAAAACATTTAAATGCCCAACAACTTGATCTAAATTTCTCCACAATTCTCTTGACTTCCCAAAGCCCTACTCTTGATTTTTTATCCTAATTTCTGTTAGCTGTTTTTGGTAGGAATAAAAATAGCCCTACAGTCTGCTTAATTTCTTTTCCCTGTTTTGTGAAGCTTGAGAGTGCTATAATCAGATACAAGGGGGCTTCAAAAAGTTCATGGAAAAATGGAATGAAAAGATAATGGAATTCTGAAGTCCCCTGAAATAATCTGCAGCCTAATAAAGCATGCTTATCCCAGAATTTAAAATTGACTATTAATAAAATCACATCTCAATACTATATGAAAGGGCATCTTTGTCATATTTGGTATGCACTAGTGTTGTTACAGTATTTCTCTGCTGTTCATTAGGTTTTCAGTGACTAAATATTTGGAAGTAGTTCATCATTCTTTCTTCCTAGTCTGTCTTGTCTGGAAGCTCATCTGAAACCTGTCCACCATGGGTGACCCTGCTGGTATTTAAAATACCGGTGGCATAGCTTTCACCACAGTATGACAAACTGACAGACAGTAGTGAGGTTGGCCCAGGATCAGGCAGTGTTTCGTTCTGCTGTGCATAAGGTCACTATTGGTCGGTACCAATGACACTTAACAACAACAACAACAGTGTTGTTACAAGGAGTTCTGGTAGCTCTGGTTAAGAGTTGGGCTGCTAACGTCAAGGTCAGCAATTCAAAACTACCAGCCATTCCACGAAAGAAAGATGAGGCTTTCTGCTTTCTTAAAGATTTGCAGCCTCAGAAACCCTATGCAGGTTCGCTATGAGTTGGAACTTACTCACCGGCACACCACCACCAGCACCACCAGTGTTGTTACAAGAGTAATCCTGGTGTGGCACTGTGGGTTAATGTGCTGAACTGCAAACTCAGTTTGAACTGCAAGGTCAGTGGTTAATGCGCTGAACTGCAAGCTCAGTTTGAACTGCAATTTCAGTGGTTCAAGCTTACCAGCCGCTCCTCAGAAACCCCACAAGGGGTTGCTATAAATTAGAACTGATTCACCAGCACTTAGCAACAACAACAGTGTTGTTACAAAGTCCTTTTTTAACAAGAGAATCTTTTGAGTACCCAGGTTTACTGTACTACTTTAGAGACAACAGGAGCCCTAGTGGCAGAGTGGTTTACGCATTGGGTTGCTAACCACAGGGTAGCAGTTCAAATCCACTGGCTGTTCCATGGAAGAAAGAGGAGCCTTTGTGATCTCATAAGGAATTACAGCCTCGGAAACTCCCCTGCATGGGGTCGCTATTAGTCCGAATTGACTTGCTGGCAGTGGGATTTTATGGGGTTAGAGACAATAATTACTTTCCTTGCTTTGCCACCTATGTATGGGCTTTCGTGTCATTTATAACTCCTGATATTCTTTCCATGGTATTTCTAAAGTATTTTCTTGGCCATCAGATCCAATTCAAGTTATAGTGACCCAATAGGCCAGAGTCAGGCCACACTGCCCATAGGACTGCCAAGGCAACAAGTCTTTCTGGAAGCAAACTGCCACATCTTTCTGGAACAGAGCAGCTAACTTCTGTTGGCAACCAAGTGCTTAGCCACTGCACTACCAGGCCTCCTCAGTCAGATCAGATGTCCCAATTATCCCAGTGTTAAAGTTGGAAGGAGGCATGACAAAGAAATACTTCTATTAAAAATCTAATTTTTTTTTAAATTCAAACTTTTATTTTTAGAACTATTCTATTATTATTTTAGAACTATTCTATAGAAAATAAAATGGCAAAATTTCTACAGCAACCAAGCATTTTTATGTCCCATGTGTAATTGATATTTTTAGCGTATGTCCTTCCAAGGTCATCCTTTTCACTCAAGAGCTGTCATTTCCTTGCAGATGTCTGTAGTATGCGGTGCCTCTAATTGCACTTATCAGTATTAGAAAGTGCTACTCTAAAAATCTGTACACAATTTGCTCTCTTAATCACAGACTAAACCCACACATGGCGGACTTTCATTAATGAGAAACTGGTCATTAACAAAGCCATCTCAAAAGCACATTTTCCTTATGTAGAATACTGCAAAAAATGAAACAAATGCAGCCAATTCTTGGAAACAGTCAGTGAAATCTATAGAAATAATGATCGCGTTCTTTATTGAATATTGATGAATGGTATTTTAAATTGTTAAAAAAAAGCCCAAACACTGTTTTTGTTTTCTCTAGTGAACTGAATATAGCTGCTGTTGATCTAAACCTCACTTTAGCTGTGTCAAAAAACGTGGCAAAGACTGTCCAGTTATACGGTGTCAAGTCTGAGCAGCTTGTAAGTGATTGCCCTTATCTGTAGTCTTTCATGGTATTTATTTCATGATATAAAAAATGACTTATTATATAATATTTGACTAGCTATAAATGTGGAATTGACTAAATATTAATTTGATAGCATTTCCTTTCCAGTGAAAGTTTGAAACCATCTGTTAGAATTTAAGCCAGAAAGCATTTTACTTTGCACAGTTATGAAAAATAGCCCTCTGACCCACTGTTGATACATTTTCAGGATCAGGCAAGATTTAGAAAACCTTACTTTCATTGCATGAACAAATTGATGGGCTAATCATATGCTTTAAAAATATAATTCTCTGTGAATGGTCAAAGTTTCTTCTCATGTTCAGACTTCCCTTTTGTGTGGCTATTCGCTCCATATCATTCATGCACTGTTACCTAGTGTGAAATAGACTTGACGTGTAGGAAAATGGCTGGAGGAAATGAAGTGCTTACAGTTGTAATTGAAAATGTTCCTTCACTTTCTAAATGCTGCAGCCCTAGAAGGCTCATGTATAAAAATTTAACCCCAAAGTTATTTTACCAAAAACAGCTGTTTGCCTGTGTGTATATGTACATGGGCATACAGATATGTATATGTAATTACATGTAAAAAACTGAGCCATATTCTTAATTCTGTGCATCAATGTTTAAAAGTTAAACACACAAATTTAACTAATATATATATATGAATGCCACAGAAATCTAAACAAATTAGACTTGAATGTATTTTTGACTGTCATTGATGTACTTGTTGTAGGGAAGGGTCAAGAGCTAGATCCGTCTGCTTTCTTTATGGGCATCATGAAGCATATTTTCTGTTTCACCTTTGTTTCCAACTGAGGCAAATGAACTTTGTTTCTGGGTTTGTCTGCATTCAAGTAGTTTCATTTCATTCCGGAATAATTTTTAGGGTAGCTTGGTAACAAATTAATTTGAATAAATATGATCCTTGTTGGTAACAGTTACTTATTTCATGAAGTTTCCTACTTTCGATACCAATGAATGACCAAATTTTGTTTGCTAACTAAGTAGCTCTGGTAGCGTAGTGGTTACGAATCGGGCTGCGAGCCTCAAGGTCAGCAGTTCGAAACTACCAGCGGTTCCGCAGGAGAAAGATGAGGCAGTCTGCTCCCGTAAAAGTTTTACAGCCTCGGAAACCCTGTGTAGGGTCACTATGAGTCGGAACTGCCTTCACGGCACACAACAACAACAACAACTTGGTAGCATGTATTCACTCACTTATTGCAGTTTTGACAATGATTTAGAAGCCTTTTTTTTTTTTTTTTTTTCCCCCAATTCGGTTTATTGATAACTGGCCATATAGAGACTATGTGAATAATTTGTTGGTGTTGAGTGCTATTGAGTTGGTTCCAACTCATAGTAACTCTGTATTCAGTTTCCAAGGAGCAGCTTGTGGGTTTGATCTGCTGAGCCATTGACCTTGTGGTTTGCAGTCCAGTGCTTCCACTGTAGCGCCACACCATGAGTCTGTATAAGTAATTAGAAGATTAATTTTTCTCTCATAATTTGTTTAGAATACTTTATAATATTCATTACTCTAAAAAAAACATGGTTTATTGCTGTAGATAAAATTCAGTATTATATTCAAAATGCCAGGAAAACGATCCTTATGAAATGATCATTAGAATGAGCTCTAGTTCCTATAAAAAGTGATTTCGTTTTTATTCAAAGCACTGGAAGGTAAGTTGTAATGGTAACATGTGGCTTCCATTATGATATGATGGTAAAGTCTTTGAAAAAATGAAAATACAGCAAGAAGTATTTGATCGAATTAATAATTGTTAAAGTAGTCTGTGACCCTACCTTACTTAGGTTTACCTCTGTTAGGAGCCTTGGTAGCATCGTGGTTAAAGCACTTTGTTGCTAACTAAAAGGCTGGCAGATTGACTCCACGGGCTTACCCGTGAGTAAAAGATGTGGCAGTCTGCTTCTGTAAAGATTACAGCCTTGGACAATTTATGGTGCCATTCTGTCTGTCCTACAGGGTCAGTGTTAGTCAGAAGCAACTTGATGGCAATGGCATTTTTTTTTTTCTCTTAGTTTATACAGTGCTGAAGGTTATTGTATTATATTGATGTAGAAAAATAATTATTTAGGTTTTTGTAATTGATTTTTTTCTTTTTCTTTTTAAAAAGTTATTTTACTTTCCACCTTTTGTTTCAGTGCATAAAGAAAGCCTAACCATTAAATAAGATTGCAAAGAGCATTGTATGCTTTATTTTTAATATATATTATTGATTAATGGTTTAATTAACATTTCAATTTTAGTGTTTATATTTTTATTGATAAAACTGTTTGTGATACTCTTCTATGTCTTATCAATTTTATATGTTTTGTTCTTTTGCTGTTGATATGTTCATATCCTTTTAGAATAGTTTCACTGAAAACCTTTGGAAGAAAATAGCTAAGTATCAAGAATTTAGTGAAAGAAAGACATGGAAATGGTTTTAAAGTAGAACAGCTACTCCATCTACAAATGGAAATGACTTGAGAATTGGTGTGATTTGATATGGATTTTTTTTTTATATAGATGAGAAAATTTAGGCCTCAAAATTTTAAAAATGCCAGAAATCTTATCATTAATAGGATGCAATAATTCAAACAGCGATATGAAAGACAACTAGAATTTTGAAGAAAAGATGCTTTCAAAGAGAGTAACTTGAAATTCTGAAACCTGAAATGTAGAATGAACACCTTCCAGAATCTAAATTACTAGGATTTTCTTAGCTCTCAGAGCAATTTTAGTAGTCTCAGCTACAGCTGAAACTCACATCAGACTGGAGTTCTCAAACTGACACACTCTATGGGCCATCGATGTGCCCTGAGTTCACAATGTGCATTTGGAGATTCCTCCAAAGGCTGTGGAAAGCTGTATAAGTATATAGGACTTATTTTCAACCTCAGTATTTTAATATTCTGGGGGATAGCAGAGTATAAACATCATTTTAATGTATATAATACATACATACATAAACAGATATGAAGTTATTTCACTATTATGCATGGATTATTTTTTTCTAAGACTTTGCTATTTTTAATCAAAGGTATGTTTTGTGTTGTTGTTGTAAAGTGTTGTCCAGTCAGTTCCAATTCATAGCAGCCCTGTATAGAGTTTTCGAGGCTTTAAATCTTCATGAGAATAGAAAGCCTTATCTTTCTTACGTGGAGCGAGCAACTGGCAGGTTTGAATCGTGTACCTTGTGCTTCGCGGTCCAGCGCTTATCGTATAGAGTTAAGTATATGCCATCTAAACTCACACCTGTATAGGGACAACTTTTTTTTCTGAATCTTAAGTGTATCAGAATCTACTCTTTAAGGGTAGTATTGGGCCACAGTTTCTACTGTTAGTACCTATAGGACTCCTGTTATGGCACTGTAGGATAGGCAGTGGACTACTAACCACAAGATTGGCAGTTCAAACCTACCAGCCATTCCTTGGAAATACCATACAGGGTCGCTATGAATTGGAACCGACTCAAAGGACTTAACATAACAGCATATTCGTTAGATTTAGCTGTGCCATGTTTATGCATTATCTCAGTTATTTTATGACAACTTATAAAATGCAAGTATTCATAAAAAATTTTATAAAATTTAAAAACTGAGGCTGAGAACGATTCAGTAGCATGCACAATATGAACTGCTAAAAGTAGAATGCCAGATAGCAAGTGCTGAAATTCACATCCAAATCCAGGTTTGACTCTAGACCAAACTTCATTATGCTGTCTTTTCCGATTTGTATCTTGTATTCATACACAAACTCTTTTTTTTTTTAAGGAAAGTGGGAATATGCACTATATACTTTATTGCGATTTGCTTATTCACAACAACATGATACAGTTTACTATTTCAATAAATGCATGATATATTTTTAGTTAAGTACCATAGTTTACAAAGGAGCCCTGGTGGCACAGAGGTTAAGCAGTTGGCTGCTAACTGAAAGGAGGTTGGTGGTTTGAACCCATTAGCTGCACCATGGCAGTCTCCCATAATGATGTCCAATCCTGGAAAGCCTATGGGTGCCCTACTTTGCCCCGTAGGGTCACAGTGGGTTGGGTTTTGGCTTTGGGACCATAGATTCTTTAACACATGTGGCCTTCATGGGTAGTTAGATGATGTAGTAGGGTAATTTAGAACATTAGGGGCTTAGCATTAAATTTTCACGACTGAGTTCTAAGCAACCATTTATTTTCTCTAACACAAAGGAGCATAAAAAAGTCATAGGAAAATTCTGTTTTCTTTTCATTCAATTTTTTTACAAACTTTTTGAAGCTCCCTCTTTGTATTTAATGTAGTATATGTCTTATGAATACCAGCTTCTTAGGTCTAATTCAGTGAAAATGATGATTGGTGGTTTTTAGACTTTTTTCATTAAAAAAATTCTACCACTTTGCATCTTGGCAGCAATTTTAAATTGGTAATTAAAAAAAAATGTTTTATTGTGAATTATGTGATGATTTACATGGGAAAACATTAGCTTTACTTCCATGCTATCGTATATCATTTCATTGCCATGGTTACAGTCCCCTCCATGCATCATCAACCAACCAGAGGGTATACCCTGCAATCCTGCCCCCTAGTTGTCAGTACATAGTCCCTCCCTCTCCCTCTCTGGGTCTAGAGTCCCCAGTGGCTCCATCTCTCCTTGTCTTCATCTCTCTCCATCTCTGGCATCACTGCTTCTCTGGGTAAGGTCTCTTAGGTACTCCACTCTTCTCCCTTGATGGTTCCAGGGACCTCCGCTCCTGGACTGCATGGTCATTCATTCCCCTCCTTTTGCTACAAAATGTCCACCTTTACATTTCCAGCCCTTGCAGTCAATCCTGACAACAATTATTCACTATTGTACCACAAGGGACCTATCCCTACCTCTTTTCATTAGCTCCATCCAAACAGATTGGATACTGTTCAGTGGAGATTCTACCTTCCTCCACGCCCTCTGAATCTAGGCTCCCTCTTGAAAGCTTGTAAGCCAGT